GGCAGAACAAAATTAAACTGCTCATGTGGGAAATGTGTGCCAAAAAGATTTATCACGCTCCAGGCAACAACAACAACAACAACAACACCAACACGAGAACAGCAATAGCAGGAATTGTAGACTTGTTGGCAGAAATTACACATCATATAAATTAAATTAATTACGAAAGTTTAATTTTTTATTGCCAACAGCCAGAACATAAAAGCGCAGACAAACAGACGAGCCAAAAGGAAACCATTTGAAAGAGACCAAAAGGCGGCATCCATGAAAAAGGGAAAGTAATTAAATTTTGTGGGTAAATCTTTGCACAATCTCTGAAAAGTTTTCCACACTTTTCACACACACACCCACACCCACACACACACTCACACAAACAGGAAGGGGGAGGGAGAATGAGAATGATGTTTTCGTCTTTGTGTTTGTAGCTGCGGTTTTCTACTCACATATAATTTAAATTATATACAAAGCGCTCACTCGTGATTTGCAGTTGTCTAATGAGCAAAGCAGCCTCCGTTGAACCCGAACCCGAGCACGGGCACGAGCCCGAGCCCGAGTCGTCCTGGCAGTGTCAGGCAGACCACAAACATGTAATGTAGAAATACAAATGTCAGCATGTGTGTCTAATTGCTGTGAAAGCCTCGCACTTTTGCAAGTCTATGAAAACCCCCGAGTACGTGTGTGTGTGCGAATGTATTTCTACAAATAACGTTATTAACATTTTAAATATTCAAACAAAATGGCGTGTGAACAGCCACATCGTGGCGTATGCGCAACGCGGCGTATGCGTAATAATTGCTTTACACTCACTGCTGACAGCACGTAACGGGGTCTAGTCGAAAAGGTTTGCGAGCTCGATTGTCATTAAGTTTAATGAGGCCACTGTGTGCAATTAAAAATTACTGTTGTGTTCTTGCATTAAGTTATAATTTTCATTAATAAAATACAAGTACTATGCCATGCGACAAACATCAACAGCAACAACAATGTTAAGTCAGTGTTGACAGAAGCGAAATAAATACGAACTGTTGTGACAGAGTCCAAGAAAAAATGTTGCTGTTCACAAATTTTTATTTTCTGCTTTACAATAAACAATATTTCAACAGAGGCATGAATATGCAAAAATTGCAACCATATCATCAGCTTGCCACAATATGGGAAATTTTGTATGCACATGTGTTTTTACGCTACAAAGTATGCTATGAATGTGTATGGATGGTTTTATGTTACTTAAAATTCCTACAAAAAATGACCAGAAATTGAGAGATATTCGAAACACAAAAAGAAACATTTACTCTCTCTTCACAGAGTGGATTCATTTTTTTTTGTAATGACTTAATGGGGGCAAAGAGAGCCTTCCAAAATCGTGCATTCACTATATTTTGATTATTATTGATTATTACATAGAACTAGTATTTCGATTCCAGCAAAAAACAGACTATCACAAAAAAACAATTCAGCAGAAACTACAATTTTTGGGCAAGAATATCTACTGCCAATATCACGACTAGTTATTGATTTATTTATTTTATTTTTCCCGCTTCCTAACATTTATTCCCCCACCATTGAGCCTAATTTCTAGTTCAGCGTTTAGTGTAATATTATATATTTATTATATATATTTTATTAGCCCATTTACCTTTAAATGTAAATATTCAATTAAAAATAATATACTCTTGTACATTTCATCTACAGAGTATAAATAGATTTTAGGGCTGTTTTAAAAGTATAACCTAATAATTAATTCGAAACGCAGTAAAAATTAACAGTACTTTTGGGAGAACTCTTGCTAAAAGCAAGAGAGAATATGGTCATAAATATTAATAGAAAAAAGTTTAAAAATAATCTAATATAGTTTTTACAACTAAAAAATTTTTGCCCCAGATTCCTATTTCGCACACTTTACTTTGAATGCAATATTAGAAATACATTATACTTATATAAGTAACAGAAAATAAAATAAATAAATAATTACATTAAGTTCATGCTTGACTTTTGTGACAAATCCTTTCACATTTGTTTGTTTCTTTTATTTGATTCGCTCTATAATATTTGAAAACTAGATTGTTGTAAAAGAATATCAGATTTAGAATTGTTGGAAACATTTGCAGTTTCATATTTAAGGCTACACTAATCAATAAAAAATTATTTCTAAATCGAACTTAAAATAAAAAACAAAGGCTTGGCTAAAGATGAGTTTGCAAAAATCTGTAAGCCTATTTGTATACTTTTTGTTGAATTTTCTAAGCAAGCTGTAAATTCAGCATTAGAGCAAATATTTAAAGGCACGAAATGTTTTAAACAATTGTATTAGAATACATAAGAAGGTGCAGTTGTGCTTCGTTATTAATGCAGGCTTTCAATTTGTTTATAAACACAATTTGGATAAAACTGTATTTGCTTATCAGTAAAGAACTGTCAATTGTCTGTAGAACTATTGTATTTTCGAGAAGTGTATTTTGTCATTTAAGGCAACACTTTAATTAATATTTCCACAAGTGTCTAAGAAAGAATAAGAAGCAGTGTAATTTATGGGCACATCTATATAAGATATACGAGCATTATTTAACTCGAAGCAGTGAGCAGAGAGCATTCACGATTCACTTACTCGATTGGCACTGACATGTGACTTGTTTTTTGGTTTTAACATTTTTTCCCACACAGCGCCGAAGTATTCGCAGGCGGGACATATGAAAAACGCATAAGCCTGAAGGCTTGGGCTTGTTCAGCGTCAACGTTCTTGCCGAGGTTGTTGTTGTTGTTGTTGCTATTGCTGTTGCTGTCATCGTTATTGTTGTACTGCAGTTGTTGTTGTTGTTGTTGTTGTCGTCGTTCAGCTTGTTGGTGTCGCTGCGTTTTGTTATTTGTGAGTTCTTTTTTTGTTTTCGGCATACACGGTCCGCCAATATGCATTTATATGAGGGCGTAGCAGAACTAAAACAACCACAACAACAACAACAGCAGCAGCAACAACACCAAGAAGTGAACATCGGCAACTACGACTGTGGGATATAAGCTGCGCTTTATAACTCATATATGCGATGCTGTTGCTTGTTATGCCATGTTTTGGTTTTGTATTTCTGTGCGTTTCTATTTTTTTGGTTTTGCTTTGCTTTGTATTTTTTCGTATGCCTGCTACTGCTGCTGCTCCTTTATTATTATTTATTTTTTTTACTTTGTTCAAGTGGCAAACTGCAGACACACAAAAATGCTGTTAAACAAGTTTAATTTCGTTTTTAAGCCGCTGCCGTTGCCATGCATTGTGGCTTATGCTAGACGGGATACCCGATGCCTGATGCCTGATGCCTGCTGCCCCAAAGACCACATCTTCTCCCGCTACCTTTGCCCCTCCTTTCTCCTCCTTTGCCATCCTTTCGTTTTTTTTTCTTTTGCCTGGCCATGTTCACAGGCACTTAATAAAAGTGTTTGCTTGCTACCAATAACAACGAAAGCAGCAACAAAAGTTACGCTCATCCTCGTATATACATAAGCAAATATATACTGGTAGTATATACCTTTGTGTGCATGTATATAGGCATATATGTATGTATATAGTTATACTTTTCAACTTGTTTGCTCCATGCTGTGTGTACGTGCCTTAGAAATACTAAGATGTGCACTCCTAAATCGAAATAGCTTTATTACAAGAGTGGCTCTATACCCTGCAAAAAAAAGAGTAAAAAAGGCTTCTCCATTAAACGTACACACGTATATAATTATCTAACTTCTCTTTAATATTTTTCATCTTTCAAATTGACTTAGATATGTTATTAGTGAAACATTTTTACGCCTCTTCTCTTTCTGATCAGCATGATACAATGCGCTCTAAATAGTTCCAATTACCCGGCCTGACCGCTGGGTATACAGCAATTAAAGTCGTATATAATCCAAAATATTGTTGCTAAAAGAATACCTCTAAGAAACGCTCCTTATGACTGCATTTTCTGGTAACGTCTGTTCGGCGTTGAAGTGAAGCTTTCAGCAAAAGGGTACACAAACCATAAAACTTTACCATTTTATTTCCTGTGGGAACAGTTTTCTTTGTGCACACACCCCTTATGTACTTATGTGTGTGTTAAAAAGCTAAAAAGATCGCAAATTGAATTTGAAGCCAAAAAACAAAGACAAATATGCGCCGAGCAAAGTCAAACAAAAATCAAGGCTGCGGCCGCCTTTGTAGCATGTTGGACAAATTTACCAGTCGAGCTGTTTGTGGGGCAGGGGCGATGAGGGGAGCTCGTTTGTTTACCTTGCCAGCCCTTGCCTGTTATAATTTACATTGCGTATACGTAATATGAGTAAGCACACAAGCACAAACCCACTCAAGTATGCCCGAATATGTACAAAAATGCACTAAATTAGGCAGAAAATTCAATAATTTGATAAACAGCCACAGGGTGCGGCATAATAACTTGATAAACATAAATATGAGTATGTGTGGAGGGAACTGAAGGCCTACAAAGGTGGCGTTGCGCTCGAATTGGTTGCAACAAATTTGAAACTTTGTAGTGTGCTTATTCTAGGATGTTATTTCTAACAAGGCACACGTTATTTTTATTAGAATTTAGGCAAAACTTTTATCCACAGTTTTATGGCAGAGCTGTCTTCTGATTCCTTTACCTTACATAAACAATGCATTTTTAACATGAACTTATTTATTACGGAGCTCCAATGTTTTTACAAATTTTTCGTTTTGTTAGCTTTAATATTAAGCACATAAACTGTTTTTCTATCGAATGTTAAAATACGCAAGGTCTGAAGCAACTAAAGTAACTGAAATCGCATACCTAATCGTCTTTTTTAAAGTTGAAGCAACAAAACCCCCGGCAAAGTAGGGAAAAGATATATCAGAGCATTCGCAATATCATCATTTGGTCAGCTACGCAATAATCAACAATCTCAATTAAATAATTTATGGCTTGCGAATCAATAAGAGCTCTCATGTTGAGACACGAAGTCTGCTAAATCAGAAATTAATATAGAATTTTTTGTTAATTACATACCTTCGTAATTGGTAGGCTTAGCCAACCCAAGGTCCTTGTTGAAAAAAAAAATCAGAAAATGTCTGTGTTTGCGCGGAAAACTGAAATGGAATGAAAGAAAAAAAGATGTATAATAGCTGTAGTGTTTTTAAATTAAATTGATGTTCTGGAAAAGACTTAAATAAAATATGGAAGCATTTACAAAATGGCTTTTTGTCGTTTTCGTACTGAGATTGGTTTTTGTACATGTCTTTCCCGTAGCAACTATAAGATATAGTAAACTGATTTTAATAAAAGTTTGGATAGCGGTAAGGTATTATGAACAACTTAAAATATATGCAAACAATAGTTTATTAATAAAACCTATTTTTGCGCCTACTATTGCGGATTTTCAACCCAACTAATCTGGTGTCCCTAGCTGGTATGGTTGAAAAGTTCTCGGTGCTCTAATAGACGCACAGGCAACATACATATTATTTGTGTGGGATCTGCCACTCCTTCTTTTGCCTATGACATTCATTTGGCCCTTTCGCCCCTCGGGTACAACAAGCTTCTTTTCTAAGAAAAGCAACCCACAAGGCTGCCCTTTATTGTGAACTGTCTTCAAAATAGATATACATATCAATAAAATTAGTAATTAACAAATTCATTCAAATTGGTCTGACCTCTTAAGATATAAATGGCACCTATGGGCATGTCATGCATTATTAAGTCAGATGAAGCCAAATTTGTTTACAATTAACCCTAATATTTCGTTCAAAAGCAAAACAAGCACAACAATAACGTTAATCCAATATAATGCACAAAATTCGGGGAACCGGCCAATTTTGAATTTATGGCAAACACATTGAAAAGAACCGGGCAACCGACACTCACTTAACCCACTACTGGCCACAGTTCATCTTAGGAGCCCGTTCAGGAAAAAGCCCATAAATTCATTGGAGCATGAATTACCGTTGTTATGGCTCGCTTCGCCTTTTTGAGAATTCTCTGGGGCCGAAAGCCAAATTACACAATTAATAAGTTCGGGCAACAGTTCAGAAACAGCAGCAACAACAATAAATGCCACACACAATAACCATGACGTTTAAAGCCAAAATTGTGCAATTAAGGCGATCAGAAAGTGGGACAGGAACACGGACAGCGACAGGGAAGGGGACAGGGATAGGGACAGGGATGGAGGGAATGTGGCCGCGACCGATACGCGTGAGAAAATGCCACGGTCCGAGCTCGAAAATTAATCAGGCGCAAATAATGCAGCAGATGATGAAGCGGAATGCGATAAAAAATAAATTGTATAAATAAAAATGCCAGCGCACACACCAAACAAGAACGGCTACAACAACCCAGTAAACAACAACTACTACTAGAACTATAGGGCTGCAGGCAGAAAGGAAAAGGACGTGATACTCGGGTTGCAATAATGCCTTTTGGCCAAGACAAGAAATTGTTAACAAAACAAACGGCGAACACAGGCGACCAAGACGTCGATGAGCACCAGGGCAAGGATAAGGACAAACATGAGCTAAAGAAAAACCTCATAAGCGAATTTATGTGGCTTATGTACATGTACATACGAGTATGTGTGTGGCATGGGTGGCATGGGAGGCAGAGGGGTGGGGATGGGGGCGTGGCTATGTAACATTGTTGTCCATATGAGGGGTAAGCAGTGTGCAAAGCCAAAAGGAAAACAGTCAACTGTATGGGTGTTGAGAGCACCCACTCAAGGTTCACTGTCATATCGAAAAGCAGGTTCACTACACTACAAAAATGCACCTTAACTACATTAAATGAATAAAGGATTTGTGAATAAGTTTGCAATAAGATTTAGAAGAAGCCGCATTTGATGTTTATAGAAGACAGCTTTTTTTTATTCCAAAGCAACTGCATTTATAAACACTACCAGTTTGCAAAATAAATGCGACAACAATTTTATTTATTAATAATATCATTTATTAAGGCTGGTTGACCTTATAAGTAAAACTAAATAAATAATAAAGTTTTTTGTGTTTCTAAAACAACAAAATATGAACATTTCAATATTTATTTCTTATTTATTTATTAAGTTTTTTTTTGGGGAAAAATAAAAGGAAGTTAGAATATTTGAATGGTGCATGCGAAAAGGTAAAACAAATTGCTGATCTACATAAAATTAAATATTTAAAAATTATTTTGAATGAATAATTTGTAGATACAAATACATGGCCTTTGTTTTGTTGTGAAGCTGCCTGCGTCCTAGAACGCAGCATTACCCACCTTGCAGATAGGTTTCCAAAGTAAATAGTTGCAAGATCAGAATGTTTCAAAATTATTTTCTTTTTTATAGCCAATCAGAGCCCATTTTTTGTCACTTAAATAAATCGAACTTTTACGATATCGTAATAAACAAATGGTTTTATTATATTATGAAGATTGAAATCATCTAAAATTTCAGAAATTTTTACAAATTTAAACAATGGATCGTCGATCGTGAATTATTAATTCAAAAGATGTTGTTTTCTAGTTTTAATTGATTTGAATTCTTTTCGAAGAAATAACAATTATGGAGTAAGTAACGGCACCTAGCTGCCTGATGATGCGATCAAAGAGGATAGAAATGAAGATGTCATCAAGTGAAGATCAAAAAGGTTGCTATTGAGAAGACAGGTTACAGATTACTAATTTTTTTCGTCTCTTTTAACCTTGTGCGACTCAGAGATCTAAATAAATTGAATAAATCAACAACATACAATTGTATTTGGAATCAATAGCGGTTTTTTTTTATTTTCTTGAGGATATTCTGTTAGTTTGGCTCGCAATAAACTTCGTTTGCAATCGTATATAAGTTTATATGACACGTTTGAGTTCCCTAAATCGAATAGGGAGACTTGTTTGTAGTAATTGGTCAAATCATGCTAATTGTGGGGGAATTTTCCTTTTAAGTACAGAGGATTAAAACGGTTTTTTTTAATGTTTGCATGTTTTTCTCAGTGTAGAAACTTGGAGTAGGAGGCAGGCTGGCGTACACATGTGGGCTTCAATGGCAAAATTGGCAACGCGTCGAGTTGCCAAAGGCCAAAGGGGGTGGTGCGAAAGGGCCTGGCACTTGTGTTTCTTATCGTTGACTGACTGGGTGGGGGATGGGGAGGGGGATTGGGGAAGGGAAGAAGGCGCTGGTAACGGCAATGGCAGCGTTGCACACCACAAATGTGTAAAAAGATATTTGTTAGGTTTGTTTTTGCTCGTTTGCTTGTATATGTACGAGTATATGCGTGAAAAAATCAGGAATACAAAAAGGACCAAATGGAGTGGAGGGGGCTGCTCATTTCCGAGAGTTGTCTTAAAGCGCAGTCACAAATGAAATTGAAAATTTTTGCAATGGCAGAGCAAGAGTGAAGGAAAACGCAAAGGCAAGGGAGAGATGGAGAGGGGTAATGGAAAATTCGTACTTAAAGAAGGTGGTGGAGGAGGAGGAGGAGAGAAGGAGCAGAAATGTGTAAAGTAAGCTACATTTATCGCATCGCTCATTAGATTTGGTTGAAATGCTTTCGCTATTTTCTTTACTATGCTGTCATTGCATTGAATCCCCCCTCCCCCCACCCCCCTCCCACACACACACACACCCAAACACTCCATCGGCTGCAATCCTATTTGCTGTTACTGGCTGGCTGGCTGGAACTAATGATGGCCAAAATGTAATTTCGTGCTTACGCAATTTTTCATTTCGCACACTGCGCGCAAATAAATAATGAAATGATTTCTTACGAGTTTTCCTTCGATGGTATTCCTCTCATTCTATTTTGTTTTGTTTGTTTTCCTATTTCCTATTGACTTTGGGTTTGTTTTATGGCTGGCGTAGTGGTTGGCCATGCAGGCAATGCAACAGCAACTGCAAGGATAACCGGAAGCGGGGAAGGGGGGATGGTGGCAGAAAGTCATGTTAAAGCAAATAAATCGTTGAAGTTCGGTTGCAAAACTTTGATTGAGCACGCAGCGCAAATATGTTTGCCATTAGCTGAAAGGCTGCACACAAGATGTCAGGTGAAAATTCATTTGGAAGTGCAAAATGGAATATACACTCAGAGAAAAAAGTGTACAACTCAAGACCAATGGCATCTGAATTGTTTTAGCGATGCGCTTTAAAAAGTATGTTTATATATGTAGAGGAAATTTTAAACCGACTTTGTATTGTATATGTTTCAAAACCCATCCGTCTTTTATTTAAAATTAAAAATAGTTTTTTACTTTCAGTGTACGGAAGAGGAAGTATGTATTGAGAAAGGTACGAGTAGGAACTGCATTTATTAAGCAAACAAAAAGTTGAAGGAAAAAGCAATTTCCATTCGTTATCGCTTTGCTTTTAATTTGCATTTGTTAAAAAACCATTCGTCTTTTATTTGAAATCAAAAATAGTTGATTTTTTTTGAGTGTACGGAAGAGGAAGTATTGAGAAAGGTACTCGTAGGAACTTCATTCATTAAACAAACAAAAAGTTTCATTCGTTATCGCTTAGCTTTTACTTTGAACTTTAGAAAATGCCAAGAAGAAAAAAAAAAACTCCACAAATAGATTGGGAGTTCATTTAATAAGCAAACAAGTTGCAGAAAAGAAATGTGTTCTCCGTTATCGCATAGATTTCAATGCACTTTATAGAAACATGTTCATTTCCGAATAAAATGCTATGCAATGCCAAATTTCAGCATCGAATGTAACGCCATATACCATCATTTATTTTCCACTTGTCCCGCACATAGTTGCTGTGCATGCAACATCATTAGTGCAACACCGAATCGACCCCTATTCCCCCTCCCTTTCCCTTGCACAATCATCAATAAACGAACGTGCGTAGGGGAATGCCAAACATTCAACGAAACCTCTGCAAAGTAATTTCCTAGCAAACTATTTTTAAGCCAACTTTGGACATGCCACAACAAGCCTTTAAGCAGGCACATTCCAACAACAACAACGACAGCGAGCAAACACATCAGCAACATTACCAACAGCGTCATCAACAACAACAGCAACTACAATAACAATAATAACAACAATAACAATAGCAACAGCAATGATGTGGCCAATGAAAACAAACGCAATACTGACATTGGCGGCATTTAATTGCAAT